TCCGGCGTCGGCGGGCGCCCAGGGGCAGCCGGGGGTCGCGCAGCGGGCCGCGGTGCCGAGGTCGGCTCCGCGGTGCGCGGCGCCCCGTCGGGCCTCTCCTGCGAGTCGGTCGCCAGTGCAGCGGCGAGGGAAGGGGCGGAATGAAGGGGCACCAGGACACACAAACAAATACACACAAATAAAAAGTGATTCCGCGTATTTTCCCGTATTTTCTGGGTTCTTGTCTTCCCCCCCACTTCCCATATTTTCCCATATTTTCTGGGGAATCGACGATTAATTGTGTCTGTGTGTTTCTTTCCCTCCTGATGGAAGCCGGGGCGGGACAGGCTTCGCCGCAGGGCTGAGCCAGAGGTGCGAGCCAGGGGTGCAGGAGCTTCGGGAGCTGGCGGCGGCGCTGGCCGCGACGCGGGCGCAGCTGCCAGGTCACCCAGCTCCTCGGGGGACGCCGGCGGAGGTCCTGGCGGCGGAGCGCCCGCAGCGGAGAGGACACCCAACTGCTCGTACTCCTCCGTGGAGGCGGCCAGGTCGTGGGACAAACCCGGCCAAGACGAGAACTTCCCCCTGGAGGCGGTGAACACCTTCGACTTGGACGTGCTGGACGCGGGTGTCAGCGCGGAGTTCGAGGACTCTGCGGTGGCCTCGCAAGGGTTCTCGGACGATGCCGTCAAGACGGTGCTCTTCTCTCTCTCTCTCTCTCTCTCTCTCTCTCTCTATATATATATACACCAGAATTCCAATTACATTACGCATATGTCGCTCAAAAAGACACGGCTCGTGCACAGCTGGCTGCAGTCGAAACGTGCGGGCCGCCGACTTAACCAGCTCGAGTTCGGGATCCGATCCGATTCCGAAGCGGGATGAACCGACAAGGGTGGAGCATGGAAATGCTACAGGACGTGCCAGGGGATGCCCCAGCGAACGTGCAAGGGGGAGTCGAAGGGGACGTGCCATGGACGTGACAATGACGCGCCACGGGACGTGCACGGACAATAACGCGCCACGGGACGCCCCACCGGCCATGCCAGGGGATGCGCCTCCTCCTCCTCCTCCTCCTCCTCCTCCTCCTCCTCCATCTGGGGGAACGAAGCTACGCCACGGAAAGAAATACACAGACGCACTCCGACGAGCTTTGCGTGTGCCTCCAGGGATGGGGCCAGTGCAGAAAGTCGCTGGCTCTCAGTGGTGATTTACACACCGCCACCCTCCCCTGAGGCCCCGGACCAATTTAGTGAAGGGAGGGTGCCTGTGTATTTTTTCGGTAGCGGAGAAAAAGGTATGGATACCGCTACTCCCCTGACCTCTTCCAGGGTGCGTTCTGACCAGAATTTCGCGGAGAATCCAGCGGTGGCGACGAGGGATCTCCAGGACGAGCAGCGGTATCGGTACCCTGTCCTCCCCTTACAGTCAGGCTCGACACGTAGTCCGACCTTCCCAACGTAACGCCGACGGCTGCGAACAAGGCACCAGGCCAGAGTGCGACCACAGTGCGGTCGAAGCGAGGGGGAACGCAACGAGCGCGGATAAGCATCCCGCCAACATTGCTCGACTGTGCATCGATCCTCCCGACATGACGACGACGACGACGACGACGACGACGACGACGACGACGACGACGACGACGACGACGACGACGACGACGACGACGACGGCGGCGGCGGCGGCGGCGGCGGCGGCGGCGGCGGCGGCGGCGGCAGCGGCGAAGGAGGCACCTGGGCCCTCGCTCAGAAGCCAGGCGAAGGCTGGCAAGGACATTGTTTTTTCTTCCGGGAAGCAGCCCGTTTACTATCTAGAGCGCGCTGGGCATTATTCCAGGAATTTGTAGTTGTCTTCTGGGAATGAAGGGGCCCCAGGACACACAAATAAATACACACAAATAAAAGATTCCCCATATTTTCCCATATTTTCTGGGCCCCCCACTGCCCATATTTTCCCATATTTTCTGGGGGATCGACGATTCATTGTGTCTGTGTTTTTTTGTTGCCTCCTGAGGGAAGACCGCCGTCATGATAATTCGCAAATTGCGTTCGGTGCGCTCGCCCCGTCCCCTTCCCCCCCCCGCCCACCCGGCGCTCTTCCCGAGCTTGGCCCCATCGCGACCCCGGAGGTGAGCAGCCACGGAATTGCCAGCCTCAGGTCGGGCATGTCCTCCCACAGGCAGAGCTTGGACGAACAGTAAAACTTCAACGTGGTCGAAAAACAACTGCTCGAAGAAGCGTCCCCAGGCTATTTGTTTTGACTACTTGTGAATCTTCCTCCTGCAGAGGGGCGCGCCCGACTTGCTGCCAGCCCTCGCCCAGCTTCCGACTGGCAGCGGTGGCGGGTAGAGGGCAGCCGCTTCGGCCCGGCCCGAGGTGCCCGTCGCTCGCCAGAGGCGGCCTCCCCTTCTCCCGAGCGCGGCCAGCCGCATCGCGAGGGCCCCGCACGCTGCTCCTCCTCCTCCTCCCTCCTCCTCCTCCTCCTCCTCCTCCTCCTCCTCCTCCTCCTCCTCCTCCTCCTCCAT